CGAAACACTACTGACTTCGTGATTGGTAGATAGGTGGAGGGTGGGGCTTCAGGCCAAAACACAAGATGACAACATCAACATCAGTTGAGGGCTGCAACTTCACTTTTTAAATGACAATATCGTGGCCGTACTAACTGTTGTCAGAGATATAAGTATTTGATATGAACATGATTTCTTAATGTCTAGAGACACATCAGGGCCATTTTATGATTAATTGAAATACATTTCTTACATACAGCTCCTTTAAGGAAATATATTTTTCTAAATGTACTTTAAGGGGTAAGAAAATACATTTCAGCGACTCGTTATGTTCAGCAGTTTTACCTAAAGCTCAGTCGACGGAGCTGTAGTGTTTTTCTTATGCTTGGAAAGGCTACTTCACAGAGTGGCTCTTGCAGTGTTGCCATGTCCACTTATTAAGGGTTTTAAAGTGAGCAAGTGCGGGGTGTGATATTTTGGTCTTATTTGTAACATAACGCAATCATTTGAATTTATTTAGATTTATTGTGGGCTTGTTCTTGTTCTTTGTTTTTCTAGCTAGATCTGGCAACACGATTGAGTTAAGGCTCGTACTGCTTACCCTGTGATTTCTTGCACCACACATATAGAAGAGAGAAACATTTGATGCAAGTTAAAGGTGCCCTAGAATGTTTTTTTATATTATTTTATAATGTTTCCTGGGTTGCCCTTATAATGTTAGTATGTTTTTTAGATCAAAAATAGTCATAATTTAGAAATAAAAGGCATTTTTCCTAGCCTGATTTTAGCCTCTGATTTGAACGCTCTGTTTGAAGGGGCGTGTCTGCTGTGTGTAACCGGCCTCTGCTGTGATTGGCTGACATGCTTGCATATGAAATAGCTATTTATTACATGTGAAACTCTCTCGAATAATTTTACTACAGCTATTATACGTTTTTACTATTAGAGCTATCGAGATTAACGAATCGTGAGATGTTTTTAAAGTATTTAGATCTTTTCCCATCACATACAATGTTGCCGTGATGACTGAGCATTGAGCAAGCAGATCACAGTCTGTTGATCGCGAAACTGAAGATCTTAACACTGCAACGCAGTTTCTGCACTCTCTCTAATGCTTTCACCAATGCAAACACGATCATGTAAATACAGTAAGAGCTTCGTTGTGCAGTGTAACGTGCGTCATTGAAGTCATAACGAGTTTGGCAAGTGTCAAGATAAACTCGCGCTGTGGAAAGATTGTTATTTGATCGCTTTCTTTATATAATTTATTCACAATTTAAATAAGTTTTTTTTTCATCCTACTAAAAGAAACGATGTGAAGTTGATATTTTAGTCACTGGCTTGACTTACTGATGCATAAACAGTATTGAACGATTTTGAGAGAAAGATTACCTGTCTGAACTTGAACAATTACACATCAGAAAGTGTTGCTTGGTAGCTCGATCCGAGGCCAGCTCTGTATTGGCCCAAGTTGAGGAAACAGTCGTCAGTGAAATGTTTGGAAATTTCCAGAGAAAATAAAATTAACCCATTGTTTCTTCAGAGGCTCGGATGAAGGAAATAAAAAATACTTTTGTGTTCATGTGTACATCCAAACACTGAGCAACTGCCATACTTCGGCTGCGCAGTTCCGCCTGCCATTGAACATGGGCTGGCATATGCAAATTCTTGGAGTCGTACATGATCCCGACTGTTGCGTCACAGTCGGTGTTATGTGGAGATTCGCCTATTTTTCAGGGGTGTTTTTCAAAAACGAGATTTAAGTAAGAAGGAGAAAACAATGGTGTTTGAGACTCACTGTATGTCATGTCCATGTACTGAACTCTTGTTATTTAACTATGCCAAGATAAATTCAATTTCACATTCTAGGGCACCTTTAATACACGTTAAACTACTTCATTAACAACTAGTTGCTCAGTTCGTTTCCGTACACACTGCATAGGATTTTTGTAAATGCGGTTGTCACTACTGGAGTTAATTCGGTCGTAGAATGCGGTTGCACTCCCGTAAAATACTGAACTGTGTGTGAACAGAACAGGATTAAGAACTAAAAGGTGAAGTGACAACCACATTTAGTTGCAGTGTGTAGGCTACGTGGCAGAGTTGTCATCACTAATACAGAAAAACAACCATGTTTGTATGTAGAAATGTGTTGTTAGCATTTTATGTCATGACAACAAAGCTTTCAGCAAATATCAGTCATCATCATGAAGAGCTGGATTTCTCAACCCCCACCTGCCCGCAACACACACACACACACACACACGCACAACACACACACACACACACACGCCCTGCCCACAGGCAACTTTAACCATGCAGCTCATAGCCGCTCTTTCACATTTCCAACTGATCAGTGTTTCCACACAGAGTGGTCATAAACAGTTTAGCTTAACTTTTTAATACCATAAAAATACCTAATGAACATGCTATGAGTCACTTTACTTTCTCAAACTGTCAAACCTGCCAACTGTATACGTTTTTTTCATTTAATGTATGCAGTCTGCTTCTGTTGTGCGGGTGATCCTCAATCTTTTCTCTGATCAGATTGCTTTTCAGAGCCTTTTGGTTCATATGATAGATGAATCCCAAAAGCCTGATAATTGTGTAATCGGCACTTTCCTGTCTAAAACCTAAAGAGGACGAAAAAAGAAACTAGTGCATTTGTACACAACAACCACCTGAATTCATGTGAGCTAAATTAACAATCATTGAGCAAATTAGATTGTCAATCTATAAAATTAGGTATAAATCTACAGCTATTTCAGAAGTGTTAGTTCATAAATTCAGATTAAGCCACAGCGGTATAGTAGATATAATTGTTTCTATAAATGTTTTGAAAATATTAGCTCTACAATCTTCTATGTTTAGAAGGCTGTGACTCTTGCCAACAGCAGCAGGAAATTCTTGCCGGTCCTCTTCATCTGTACTTCCTTTAATATACGCCTTTGATTACAGACTTTATGATCTATAATCAAATCAAATCAGGCTGCTATTCTGTCTCTCTAACATCGTCAGTTATGAAAGTGAGACGATATATCACTTAAATCAGCATGCTTATTGAAGATGAAATACAAAACAAACTTTCATTTCTATTTTGTCCCAGGATTAAACTGGTTCTGTGGTAAGTGCAACAGGAAAAAAATAAACAAAAACTAAACTGTCTAGTCTGGTGATTAAAAATCATCTGTCCAACTGAACCCATTTCTACTCCTGCTGTGTGAAGCTATTTTGCTTATTCATATGATCATAAATTAATTTTAACTCATTGAACAGTACCAGGTGTAGTGGAAAGTGGCATTAACATGTAGAAGCATATCATAAATACTAATTAAATGTGCAGAAATGGTTCATTATGAACAATAATAGTTATTTTTTAGATTATATGTTGTTATGCTTCCGTCCATCTGGAAAGTAGAGATCACAGTATTATACAACAGACTTATTTTACGTACTAAAACCACAGCATATGTGATTCAGTAAATCTAAAAAAGCACCCAACTTATACAGGAAGAAACCTGCTATTGAAATACAAGGATGTCTCATCCCAGTAAGCCAAAGGTGAGGGCCTAAACTAGTCAAGCAAAATCTCGCCACTTGAAAAAACAGAAGCATATTTGTCTATTTAACAACATGTTCTCTACATCAAATCAAACAAAGCTCCCCATCAAATGTGATTACGCAAGATGAAAATAAATCAACAGAGGTACTATAATGAACAATGCTGATTCTTGCCAGATTTTGCTTCTGTGTCCAAACCCTTGATTGTTCAACACAGACGAAGCCTCGCTAGAATTGTGTGAATAAAGAGTGTTTTGAATACTGCCTCAGTGGAAGGGAACTAGTCTTTAGCAAGTAGAAATATAGCATGTCTTGAGATCACAGTGACACGCAGGCTGATCAGCTCAATGAAGATTCAGCAGTGTTGTCAAACCGCTGACTGTCTTTCTACTGTCTTTCCACTGTGTTATGGCATGATACAATCCTCCTGATACTACAACGCAGTCCACAATGTCGCAATTTTTAATGTCTAATAATCTACATATAAATTAGACCAATGATACTTACTACATATAGTGTAGCCTCATAAACTGAACTTAATTCGCCATTGTTCAGAGGACACTATAAACTTTCACATTCCAACATTAAAATCTATGAAAAAAACTTTCTTTAATAAGTTATCAGGAAACATAGTATTTAAGAGCCCAGTAGTTTATGTACATGACTCTTATAACATGCCACCGTAATTTTTCTCATCAAAATCAAGAGATTTTTTTTATTTGAGCCTATTTTGGACCATTTTTTTGTTTAGATTTGATTCTTATTATATTCTCATAACAGTAATTATTTTTTACATCAACATAAATTAAAGATAGTACATATAACACAGCTGGCATATATATATATATATATTTTTTTTGTTGCAATTGTTACACTTTCACAATGAAAATAAGACATTTTTGCATTACACAGGAGGAGGCGCTTAACTGTCTTGATTCAAATAATGCTTCATTGAATAATTCTGCAGTAAAGCTGTATTATCTTTAATTTCTTTATGCAAATTATAACTTCTTTACTTTGAATTTCGGTTGAAGTTTTGTGAGATTCACACAAACTAAGATATGAATACATGAATCATGACATTTCTAACAATCATGACACGCACGGTCTATATCAATTAGGCCTACGTTAACAAATTATCTGTTGACCATGTTTGTTAAAGACAATGGTAAGAAATTAACATACCAAAAAGTGTTACCAATCACTACTAACATGAAATTCCCCACTTGAAAAAAAAGAAAGATTTTTGGTCTGCCAGCCTGGCAAAGCTGGTGTTGAGCTTGTTTAGTTGGTAGCCTACAGCTGGTCTTCCCAGTATGACCAGCTGAAAACTGACCAGGTTAACAAATACCAGTGAATGTGGATGCAATGAGAGATTCCAGCATGGTGCTCATTCAAAAATTCCCATGAAAGATATTTGTGAGAAAAAAGCATTAGAAATTAGACGGCAGATCACTCACCTGTGGTTGAACACATGGTCCATTTCTCCGGAACTGCTGAGAAACTCTTTATCTTTATTTCTAGATTTGGACCTCCAGGTCGGGAAACGTTTCTTCTTCTTCTCGCTGGGGCTGGTGGGCAGTGAGTCCGGGGATGATGTGACATCTACAGGGCTCGACGTTAAAGTCATAGACGAATCTCTGAAACTAGCGCGCTCGTCTTCGGGTGAAGTTCCCCACTGTCCCTCAGTCCTGTCAGCATCCCTGGTTTCCTTACCTAAACTCTTTGACTTCCCAAACAGCTTCTTAATTTTGGACTTTGATATGCTCATGATTAAGTATATAGGCCTACGACATATACAAAGATAAAGTTTCCCTTTAGTCTAATGAAGGGGTTTAAACTGAAAGTTTGAAATGCGCACGCTTTGTTTGGGGCGCGCTGGAGGTTTGGTGTTATTCACGCGCTCCTGAAGCTCACAGGAGCGTGCTGGGCGGAGCGCGCAGTTCATCTTTGAACTTCGTATTTACTTTGGTCTGCTGTAAAATCTAACAAAAGTAGATTTTAAAGATGAATATACTGGAACTGGAATATATAGACGTACAACTTGTTCTTAATTATCTATTGTCAATTTACAGTGCTTTTATTAAATCGAATCTCAATTTGCTGTGTGTGGAGCAACTGTAATTTCTTTCGAATGGAAATGGGTTATAGCGCCTTCTGGTGGTCATACGTCTAAAAAAATGAAATGAAATTGAAACTCACAACTTGAAATTAAATCATATTTTTCATATTACAATGACAATGAAGTTAATATATTGTAGACGTTTCTTTATGTTTTTTTAAATGTTCCTGTAACCCTTTAAATAAGGCTTCATTTGTTAACATGAACAGTACTTCTATTAATCTGGTAACACTTTACAATAAGGTTCATTAGTTAACATAAACGAACAATGAGCAATACCTTTGTTACAGTAAGCTAGTTATTAATGTTTTTTTAATGTTAGTTAATAAAAAATACAGCTGTTTATTGTTTGTTCATGTTAGTTCATTAACTAATGTTAACAAATGCAACCTTTGATTTGAATAATGTATTAGTAAATGTTGAAATTAATATGAACTAAGATTAATAAATGCTGTAGAAGTATTGTTCATTCTTAGTTTATGTTAACTAAGGTAGTTAACTAATTAACCTTATTGTAAAGTATTACCATTGTTGCTTTCAACATTCAAAAATACATATTTCAAATCAAAATTCGTATTTTAACATAAGTTAATCCACTGTGAACTAGCATGACCAATGAACAATTGTATTTTATTTTATTAACATTTAAAAATGAATAAATACTGTAAAAATGTAATGTCATTGTTTGTTTATATTAGCTAATGATAAAGTTCACAAATGAGAGTTTATTGTAAAGTGTTAGCAATGTTCTAAACAAAACTTGTTTTCCTGAGAATTTGTTTCATTTGTAAAACATTTTATTGGTTTTTCCTGTCTTCACTTTTGTAATATCCCTTCGACAAAAGTCATTGACAATTTTTTTTTTGGTGTAAGTTGGTTTGTCTCACTTTAAAATGCCCATCCTGTTAGATAAAATGACAAAAACAAGCATATTCTCAGAATTCCCCCCCTCCCCCAATGAGCAATGGCTAAATTTAGTTATATATCCATTCTAAAAAGGTTTTAAATCTGTACTGCAGCCAAAATGTGTGGATATCCTTAACATTGGAAAGAAGGACTGAAATGGAAATGGCAGAAATCTGTTGTGAAAGTGATGTACTAAAATAATTCATACTTCAAATTTGTCATAGCTGCCAGCAGTTTATTTAATGAGAGTGCGATGGCATATGGCAAACATGCAGTATTTTCATAGTTAATGTCAAACCTGTTCCTTGCACGCGCACACACACACACACACACGCACACACACACACACACAGAGGCCCAATCAGAAACCTACAAAGAGCAACGTTTTAACATTCAGTTACTCAGAGAGATATGGGCTGAATAGTATGGAGGGAGCATCTCTCAAAAGAAAAAAACAACAACCACATTGCGATTCCTTTAAATGCACAAAGCTGAAAACAGATTTTAAAAACGGCCCTGATCCAAAGTTGGGCCCTGATCCAACTTTCTAATAACGTGCCAATGATCTCCTGTAGAGAACTCAAAGTGAAAGGATGGCAGACTGGAAAAAAAATCCCTACATTTTCACTCAACCATCCACTGCATTGATGGATCGGTATAAGCAGAGGAGTGGAAAAAGGAAACAAGCCCCTCTACAACACAATCTTCCTGTTTTTTTTTGTTCCCACAGGGCAGCAACTCACTCACTTCCAACCACATGTTTTCTTTTTTGCTACCTTGAGGAAATGTATAAGGCCAAAAGTGTCGTTACAAGTATCATTCTATTACATTCAGTTCATGAATGTATAAAAGTTGCATGTTAATCTCTGAAAACCCAAAACAGCATTTACAATTCTCTATCACAAATAGAATTGAAAAAACATATGGCAACCAATTTCTTTCATTATTATCTTTCGTCAAATCAGAAACATCAAGTTTACACTCAACATTGTATCAACATAAAATGCAGTATTTTACTCTGGGCCTTTAATCAAACTTGATAGACTAATCTGGTAAGATTTTTCTGTGTATATAGCCATCCTTCATAGCACCACATGTTAAAAATGATTCATCTTCTTTAAATGAGATGCCCTTTGTAAACCATTTCCTTAAAAAAAAAAAAAAAAACATTTTGCTACTATTCAAATTGTAAAGGACACTTCAAGTGAAGTAGTTCTACCTCTAGAGCTACACAGGCATTTCCCTTCATGTGTTTCGTGCCATGGGATGCAGTTATGATGGCGCGGCACTCTTAACATTAAATAACGAATCTAGAGTGAATAAGGCAGATCTATAGAATCTCTTCATGCATCTATAGTCTCTGTTAAAGAGGCCTTTCTTTCATCAAAAGGCCACAGGTCCTACGAATTTACTACATGGTATGAAAGGGGTACCATTTCTGCAAACAACCGATGACTAATGTATATGATATGAACTTCATATTTGAGTGTTGAACATCATAAGTCAATATGCACTTCATTTAAAACATCAGTAAAGTGTCTTTTGAGACATCGGTCGGTGTGTTCAGCGGGCTACACTGCTCTCTAAAACTCTCTGAAAATAAACACTGGAGCTTTCAACACTGTTCAAATGCATTTAGATACAAACAAAACAAAAATGCTTTATAACTCTTCACGTTGCAAGCTTAGAAAAAGCATTGTTTTCAAATTTAAATCCATAATAAAACAAAAGGCTGGTGAACCCACTCTGTTAATGCTACATAGTGTGGGTGAGAGGAATAGATATGCGTGAGCCCCATGCTCACACGCTATTAGCCAACGATACACAGACAGTATCTGGCATTTTCTGCTTTAACACTTAAACTAGGACAAAAAATAAAATAAAATAACGTGTGATAACAGCCTTTCGGCCACACCGAAAATGTATGATATGTCCTAAAGAGCTGTAACAGAGGAGGGAGAAATCATGCATTGGGTATTTACTCTAAATAAAAGAGAAAGAAAAAAGGAGTCCATAAGCTTGTTTTTTTCTCTCTTTCTCATGTGATGGAAATTAAACAGTCCCAGCGCAGGGAGGGGAGTGGAGGAGATTTTGAGCCATTATTTGACAAGCCGCTTTGCTACGTCAGCGTAGGCGATCTCGATCTCCTTGTCGCTGGGACATGTGTTGGTGAACTCCTCACGCTTGTAGGCATTGTTCAGGTATCTCCAGATGCCCGTCATGTCTTTAGAGATCTCAAAGCCTCTGTACTTCTTTGCCACCACCTGCAAAACAAAAGAGAGAAAATTAACTGGTAAATCCTTCTGCTCAGTTCGTCATGTATTATGGCACATAATAATCATACTAAAAGATAATTTGAAGCCCAAAACAATATTGTGAAATTCTCTTTAATCTGAGGTAGAGGTTACCTTAACGATGTGGAGTTTAGGCAGCAGGTTGCAGTCAGCCAGAGTCATCTCTTCACCGTCTAGGAACATGCGCACAGAGGCCTTCACCTCCTCCATGCTGTTGTGGTCGATCTCGTCCGGTAGAGGAGAGCACAGGTACTCATCCAACTTCTGCAAGGTCTTCAGCAGTCCCCTTTCTAATGCTATATGTCGTCAACAACAATTAAGAGATGGTTAAGAAGAAGTTCCTTTTTTTTAACTTGCAGTGTTAATGCCAGAGATAAGTTTTTTTTTCATAGAGTTTTAAATTGTTTGCCATTCACGGAATGTGAACACTCAAAAAGAAATCTAAAGCACACCAAACTCTGACCATCTCAGGTGGTCCACAGTGTGGTTCACTTCCAAGCAAGCAATTTTGCGTTTAAAAGACGTCTAATAGACGTCCAAACACAGCCCTGACGTCTAGGATAAACAAGGCAAAATTTGGGCTGTCAGTGAAAATTTTATAGATGTCTAACCATAGCCCAAGAATAGACGCACAGGCTATGTGAAACATATCAAAGAAATGAAACCAAACACCTTGTAATCACTGTTGACTTGCTTACATGATATATCATACATCTCGCTAGTAATTTTGGCAAAAATGAAATAACCAAATTCAAGGTTATTTTGGCCAGAAGTGGGTTACTCATAGCCGGACTATATCGGGTCTACAGTTAACCTAGACGGTGAAATTATGACTATTGCTTGCTGGGTTGTAACATGTATTGTGATTAATAAAAAAATACAACTTAATCGTATAAATCAAAGTTGTTCCTCTGATTTTCACCTTGCAGACAGACAGCCACTTTAAAGCTTTTTTTAATCTGTGTCTGTTTTTCCAAATTGCAAAGACACAACAACAAAATATCCCAATTCACAGTAAATTAACTAATTCCCTTAATTTAATGACAGAGCATCGTGTTGTAAAAAATTAAAAACAAGTTTAAGAAATAAAATTGAATTCTAGTTTTCTAGAAAAATTACATCATCTTGCAATGCCTCAGAGTAGACAAATTACAAACGAAATATCTTTGTATAATATAAAATAATAAGTGCTGTCAAATTGATTAATCGTGATTCTAAAATAAAAGTTTGTGTTTATATAATGTGTATATATATATATATATATATATAAAACATATGTATGTGTGCGCGTCTGTGTGTGTATATATATATATATATATATAAATAATATTAAATTCGATTTGACAGCAATAAATATAACAATGTAATATAATAATATAATTCACAAAATTATAAATTAAAAAAACTGATAACAAAAGGGATTCCAAAAAAAAAAAAAAGGATGAATAGTGATCTGCCCTCTAGAGGGAGAAAGTTCCAAAAGAGAATTGCAGTGTTTGGTTGCACTTCTACTTAGCTGCCACATAAGGGCATTATTACACTCCAGTGAAAGCTGATCCTGACACTTCACATACACATAATATCAGCAGGCCACTGTAACAGGTTACCTGTTAAGCTCTAAATCTTCAAAAGTGACAAACTAAATGCAGACTAAAATGCTACGGCATGTTCTGCTCTCCACGAGAGGTCTCCCAGCAATTTCTCCTGTCTGCTAGCACTGAGACAATGTTGACAGACTCCAGCTGGAATAGAGAGGCTGTTATCACCCACAGTCAACATTTCATAAGGGTGGAGACTCTTGGAAGTTAGTTTATGTTCAGGGTCACTGCCAAACTGTTATTGAGCCAAAGAGTCTTTGAGATTGTGCGACATTACACCAAGGCAAATTCCTAGCATATTTTTCATTATGACAACAGTTCTACACCTGATAAAAGTGCAGTTGCTGTTACTTTGACCAAAATTCAGTTTCATGTTAACAGTGTTTACTTTGGAAGTTGACCTAACCATCAAATTGTGGCTCTGCCTACAGCACTAAAGTATGTAAATGAGACACTGGATCCAAGTCCTGCGTTATCTAAACTATAGACAACACTGTTTACAGACACAACATAAGACATGGCAACCATAACCAGGTCTAATCTATTAAACTAGAGCAATAGAAAGTATTTGTGTGGTTAAACTGAGCTTATCAAATGTGTGATTATTCCACTGAACAATGTACATTTGTTTGTTTGTTTAGAGGTGAGAGAGAGTGAAATCTTTCTGGTTACCCTCGTTGGCATCAGGTTTGGAGTTCTTGATGAAGGCAGAGAACTTGGCAAATATATCCATCCCTGCAGTGTTGGATTCTGGGTGTCTCGCACCAAGTTTAGAGTACCTGAGTGTACAAACACACATAAAAGTATGACAAATTTTGACAGGGTGTTGACAGATGCAACACTTAAATACGCACTCTCTCACTAACTTTGGAGGGCAGAGGACGTCCTCTAGGAACTCTTCGATCTTGTTGACATCTGTCTTGACCTCTCCATTATAGGTGATGAAGGGAGGGTGGGTTCCTGGGGCCAGATTCTGCAGATCAGCTGGTTTTCTACGACAAAGAAAAACATAATTGCAACATTAATATGGCTACGTTCACACTGTCAGTTTGCCCCATTGAAACAAAACTTACAGTAGCATCTCAAATACTGTCTGTATGAACATGATGCAACGGGAGTCAAGCCCGTATTCTCTTACCAGTAACCATAGCAAAGTCCATAAAACTGAAAAGTTATCACTTTTGATATGTCAAATGTCCAAACAAGCCGTGAGTTCATCCGTCAAATCTTCATTAACTACCAGCAGCTTATCTTGGTGGAGAGCGGAACATTTGAATAACGTGTAGAACACAAAACTTACTGGAGCAGCTCCAGTGGAGAACAGTGACTGAAAATAACCGTACTATGAGTGAATGTAACCGTATTAAGGACTCAAATACAGGACTGACAACCGTATTCTGTTGCTGTGTGAACGTGGCCTATGAATCTACTTCTCGTAACAATGAAATTATTAGTTTTCAAAGAGACTATTCAGCACATCTAAACAAGTATGTTCAGTCTATAAACCCTATGCAACTTTGCTCAAACAAATGTGACATGAGACCAAAGCCATGGGAACTGTAGAAATGTTTTAGTATTTAACTGTCACAGGAGGTCAGCATGGCAGAACCCAAGTACATTTAATTGATTGTTTTTCTTTATAATACAAGGTGATAAGATGCCCTCGGGGGCTGCATACAGTTCGGACAATACAGGGGTTTTCCAGAGCACTCACAGCCCAACACACACTTAGCTTTGTATAAAAGTAGTATTGGTACCCCTAAAAGAAATATATTTGCATTAAAAAACAACAACGTTCTACATGAATCGTTTTTTCCCCAAACGAGGACGTTGTCCCCTAATATCCACAAATGGAGACTGTGAAATATGAAATCCCTCGAGGGTTCAGGAACAGAGGGGGGTTATGTCCCATGAGGCCTTGAAGCAGGAACACTCTGATCTTACCAACTGCAACAACAGGAAATTACCTCACACCTCTGGCATGAGCACAAGGAGCACCCTATCCCTTGTGTTGGCACAAAGGAAAGGGTAAGAGAGAGGAGAAAACAAGCAGCTCGAAAGACAGACCGGCGGAAAGGATCAGCCAAATTTCCACGTGCATTATAAAAAACGGTTAAGAAACGGATGGACAGATTTCAGTTTAGGGTCATAAACTTTAGGCTGAACAATGTCTCTGTGTTACAGCCTCATAAGACACAGACTGAAGATCATATGTGGAAAGTCTGAAGAGAAAGTGTGGTGTGGATGTCATCATCATGGCTAGGAACTATACTCTCATTCCTGCGTAATAATCAAGAAACTTTACTGCCGTACCATGAGTGCAGCAGGCGTAATGATATGACGCAGCGCCTGAAAATAGGCTACCTTCCGTCAACACAACGGAACCCCTGGGCACAATGTCTTGTAGGAGCATTTAGCAGCGGGCGTTTTTTTTGCCAAAAAAGTGCAAATATTAGTACAAATATACGCTCCATTATCGGAAATGTAGGCACTCGCCCAATCCCGTCTATGGATAATCCGGCCCTGCGTGCAGTGCAGCCTTTCAAATTTGCTGGGGCAGTGACAAGCGCCTCTCACTGATCTCCTTGTCCGTTTCAGCTGGTTTCAGTCACGTGACGTTGGCTCTGAATGAAAACGCATTATGGAAACACGTTTAGGTAGGCTAGTGCTTTTTGTCCCTCTCTGCTATTACAGTTTTTCAAGATGGCAGAGCGACATGGAAGCCTCCATGGACTTACCCGTCCCATGTAATTAAAGATAAGAAATTCTTCGCTTACAAGGATAAGTCAGATCAGAGGTAATTTTACACCAATGAGGACATATTTATGAATAAAGACATTGATTTTAGCTAATAAAATACTTAAAATACACAGTGTACCTTTAAATTAGCTTGAATGCAACTAATCACCCTTGCTTCATTTAGTATACGCAGATCCATGAATATGCAAATCAGCCCCAGCTCCACTCAATCACAGCTCAGAGATCCACTCGGTCAACTTACTGAGGTAAACGCTGCACAATGCTATCGCTCTTTACAACATCGAACACATAACGTAATTAATATGATTAGCCTTTTGTTTGACTACGTTATCAAACAGCTAATAGTGTGTTACTAATGTTACACAAACCATGTTCCCATTCGCCATCTCAGAGTCAGACATCTGCCAATCAGTATCCTTAGAAACACTTTGGAAAACTCAGAACGTCAGTGGAGAAAGGCATATAGTTCATCATAACATCGTAATATACATCATTTACCCACTATATTGCTAAATGTACCAGATTTTTCATATCAACAGAAAAGTATACCGGGATAACCTGGCTTCTCTCGAGACTCCACTGCTTCAGAGCGGTCATAGTTAATGATATACTAAAGCCCGCCAGCACGTTTACGTGATTGGTTACAAAGTAGTTTGTGATGTAAGAAACACCAGTGATTTCAAAACGTGTTTTTGAGACTTCTCTTTAAAACTGCAGTGATCTAAAGACAAATACTCAGCAATGGTGTTGACTTGTGAATTGGACTTTAATTACAATATCAGAGATCACTAACTACCCAATACACACACACACACACACTCTTTTGTTTGCTATCTAAAAGGGGATATAAAAACATTTAATGATCAACTTTATTTTATAAATAATTTTTTTAAATGAAGAAAACACTGTTCATCCCCATGGGAGATTTTTATCAGATTTAAGTCACTTTTGGGGAACCTACAAACAAAGTTCTACAAAAACACACACCTCTTAAGGTCCACAGTGGTGACATTGAAGACCACACCCTTTAGCCACAGGATCATGAAGAGACGCTGAGAAAATGGACAATTGCCGATACTCTCTCCATCACTGCCCGCCTGAAAGAGAAAGAAAAATGTGTTAGTCTGACTTCAGAAAAGCATATGAAATAAATCAACAAAACTGTCATTATTCCAATGAGTTGCTCCATATTAGCTGAAATTTCAGCAGAGAACATTTTGCAATCACAGGGTCATTATCGTACAACTCTGTATCAGATTATAGCCAGAGAAAACAACTAAACCACAACAAGAAATATATTTTAACCGTTAAACAATCAGCTCCATGTTACTGAGATTTATTTGACAGGAAGACTCACTTTAAACCAGCTTCCAACACACAAAACCTACATTAAGAGCAGAAGGCAAGCTGACCCCTGACTCAAAACATGTTGTTAGGGCTGGGCGGTATGACGGTATATATCGTTACCGCGGTAGAAAATGTCAACCGTAACAGATTTTTTTATTCCGTGTATACCGCGACATGCAAATAAGTGGGCGTGGTTAACTCGCGTGCAATGTGCGTGAGACTGAAACACAGCGAATTGCAAAAAGAAACACGGAGAAAGCAGATCAAGAGGATCCACAAAGGAATTACATTTTCTAAAGGGTTGTTGTTGTTGTTAACGTGATATTTTCGGGGGGAAAGGCGCAGCAGTCACTAGAGCAGTGCAGCACCCAGGCTACAGATTAGTGCACGCTCGCAACGGGGAAAGCTGGACAACAACAGTTCATATATCAATATCGTAACGAATAGAAATAACCTTAAATAATGTATAGTTATCTGCATCTTTCTGTCTCTAATGTATAGTTTTTAAACACGCAAACAGTTTGGCGCCCGTGGTAATGAACATCCTGCTTGTTAAAGTGAATGTATAATCCTGTAGCCTATCTGAGGCAAAATTACTAAATATGCATCGCGAGTTATATATTTCTAACTCCAAACAATTGGCCACCGAACCAGCTGATAAAATCTTCCTTTGATTCGATACGTGATAGTGATTACAACTTGACACTCAAATTAACCGATCGCATTTTACTGATGCAGAAGACGCGCGCGTGCACACGCACTGAGGGAGCGCGGTGTTCACCGGGCTATGGTCAAATATTAACGCAGTTACAGGTGTGTATAATTTAAACTAGGCAACTTTGTCAACACTAACAGTAGCTGCTGTTCGGTTTTCAAACTGCTGCTCTCCTTAGTCACTTCTGAACTTCTATTGATTAAAGCGCAGGGTGACGGGTTGCCAGATATCACAAAAAGAGCAAAACAAGCCCCTTAAAAACGCAGTGTAGCCTATAAGCAGACATGGCAAAAATGTACCGGGGAACACATTTAAACATAACTAGTATTACTATCCTACAAAATTAGAAGGAAATAACTCATTTATCATGATTAGAATAGTTCAATATAAAATATTCAGATATTAAAAAATGATTGATGAAGTAAAGCATAAAATGATTGAAAAATGATTCAGAAACACTTTATTTAAAGTTTAATTGCACCTATGAGTTGTATTTAATATCAATCAGTTGGGGGCAGTTCATCAAAAAGTTGATGAGTGTGTTTTGTTTATATTTAGCTATCTAAATAGTTTACCAAAGAAATAATTTACCAAATAAGAGAAACAGAAAACAATGTGAAGTACTTTTCATTTCTAAAGTATTTGGGTTTATTTATTATACAAAGCCCTTTTTGTCGATTTTTTGAGAATAACTACATATATAAATACCTATATCGTGAAATATATCGTTACCGTGAAATAAAATGAGTCATACCGTGAAATAGAATTTAGGTCATACCGCCCACCCCTACATGTTGTCCTTTTCCAGAATAAAAAAAATCAGTTTTAACCCAGTGGATGGCGAGAGCTACAACATTCTAACATGGTGCCCTTTCAATACCGAAGAGACCTTCCAAAACCTTCAAAGTCCTGATTATGTGCAGACAAACTTAATTATATACATCTATGTATACTAGAGATGCACCGATGTATCAACTGATTTTTGATTAATTTACAACCATCGGCATATAGGCTATAGCATGAAAAAGGCTGATATAACAAATCAATGGTTTATTAATTAACTGCGTGAAGGCACTGAGCTGCCTAATGTCTGTTGCATAATTCAAGATTGTAATCTAATATTCCTCCTGTGCTGCTGTCTGCATTTAAAGACAAGAAAAGAAAAATCACTCACTACTCGACCAAATCATTTTCGTAACTTTCATAAGGATTAATGTATAGGGTCCTATGATTTCTGCGATGCGGAAAACGTGGACGGAATCCAGTCAAAAAAACGAAATTGACAAATTCCATGACATTCCGCATTATACAGTAAAAGTTAATGAATAAATAAAAAGTAGGTCTGTATAGTGTCTGTAAATATTAAGCTGCAAACAGATTATTTTTATATGAATCCTGCATGTTCTGCGTGCCACTGTGTGAATGAATGGCGCAGACGCGCGGTTTCATTTACCTCACACATGACGCTCACTGTGTTTTCAGCCTCTGCCGCCTCACTATATGAGAACATGAATGCATGAACTTCATCTCCAGAGTCACTTCATGAGCATTTTACCGTTTCATTTGACAAAGTCTATTGTCACGGTCATATCATAAACACAGACAGAAACTCAAAGGTCTTCACGGCAACCCATCAGAATAAAAGTTCGGTTTAATTAAGTAATTGTGACTAGTGGTGCACGATATATCGGCGGCCGATATGGTCAAATTTTTTACACATCGGTATCGTTCCGATGTCAAAATAGGGCCGATGTGAACAGGCCGATAATCATTACTGTGTATTTGACGTGTGTGTAGATGTGAGTGCGGGGGCGGGGATGTTTGTTTTTTCACGAGCGCATACATTACAAGCGCAAGTCCTGTCTGTTTAAACATCAAGAGCAAGAAGACTGGAACTTGCGCGCTGTTTTCTGTCAGCCTTTTAGGCGTATTTTTGTCCCGCCAAAGCCTTATTTGACCAGTGAGTGATGTAGATGACTGACTGCTGCGCTTGTTTAACTAAGAGAACGAGCAGAGAGAGTGAAAGCCCCGGTCGCGCGCACGCGCACTCTCACCGTCTTCAAACTGTCTTGCTCTCTCTCCCTCCCTCGCGCATATTAATGAATTGAGTTGACTGAATATCTTTGAGAATACACGATGGATAAAGGTCGGAAGACCAAAGTTTTTTTTTTCTGAACTACCGCTGGTTGTGAATTGTGCTTAAATAACGTTGCCTTATCTTCACTGAAAAGCTTTCCACACATTCAGATGACATAAACCACACTTTCAATAAACAAAAAAAAAAAATCTATCCAGTGATGAAATGTTTTCTGTGATGAAATCTTGTGCGATGTCCTAACTGCCGTGATAATCACACAACGTGTGCCATGGTCCGTTAATGACACGTCCGATTCGCGAACTTATGACTCATTTGAACCGATTCACTTTAATGAATGGTTAAAACAACTGATCTGTCCAACACTGAACTCAAGAGACATAAATCGGAAACACTTTAATAAATGGAACCTTATTGTAAAGTCTAGTTAACTACATTAGTTAACATTCTATTAATATTAGTTTCTATGCGGATTTACTCCATGACAAAACCACCCCAGTCATTCTAGAATGATTCATTCTTTCCAAATAGAGCTTCAAGTCATCTGGTGAAATTGTTTTTATATCGCAATATATATCGCAGAAAAATAAAATATCGCAATGTCATTTTTTACCAATATCGTGCAGCTCTAATCCTCGCTATGTGTTTTCTATACAGAGATATCGGCATCAGTAAATATCGGTATCAGCCATAACAGCAATATTAATATCGGTTATCGGTATCGGCCACAATTTTCACATCGGTGCATCACTAATTGTGACAGAAATATATTACTGTTGTACAGTATAATTTAGCTACGTCTCAATGTAATAACGTATGTATTTAATTTATACAGTGAAGAATATGCAGTATTATGTTACATTTGTTTACTTTATTTCTGCACCTGAAAACTGTTAAATCTACCTAAAAAGCACTGTTTATTTCATATATCTTTGTTCTGTTGTGCATTTTTGTTGGCCTGCTGAATGTTAAATGGATCCAATCCATGTTCATTAGAAATTGTTTGATGATACAGCAATTAAGCAAGTAACTTAATGCATGTGGGGGTTTTTTTTGTTGTTGTTTTTTTAACTTTGCTGATTTAAAACATGATCAAAACACTATCTATTTTAAATGACAAAAGTTAAAATAAGAGAGCAAGTGACATATCGGTATTGGCCAATAATTGTTATAATTGTAATAATTGCCCCAAAAATCTTACCAGTGGATCCCTAATACAGCATATTTATCCTGTGAGCAAAAATGTCCAGTAACAGAGATCCTGTCCAATACTGAGAACAGAATTTGACTGCTCATATGATTTTATGTGAGGCTGTCCTATTATGTTTTGTGTTTCTTTATTTTCTAATGAGGGAAATGAGTCCCATTTAAAAAAAATTTAAAGCATGGTTATATGCATCATGTTAAGGAATTCTTTAACAATGTATTTACTGGCATTTATCATGCCAATAAATCTAAACCTCAAATATTCAGATAACGTGTATGTGTGAACATTTTTAAAGACATGAATTCCACAGTGGAGATATCACCTAAGGAGCCCAGCCTCCTCCTCCACATCTCTCGGCTGAATACCACACTACGTATGAACTCCAACACCAGGGCTCAACATAAAAAAAAATCCCCACTGGCCCCCAGGGCCAGTAGATCAGAGTTTTACTGGCCCCTTCTATATTTTTACTGGCCCTGAAAGAAATAGAAGGAAAAGCACTTTTCCATTAAACTATTTATTTTATACATTAGGATTAATTTTTCTTGTCCCCTCACAATGACAGTAAACTAATTATTACATTACATGATGAGTAATATTACGGCCTATTTTCATTTCAAAATGTCGAAATTAGACAAAAGTATATTACTTTGCCTGATTATTTTTGTCATTCGTTTAACATTTATGACCTAAAAAACTGTCAATGAAGAAAAAATGAAGAACGCGCTGAATC